CTATTGTACTGGTAACTCTTGTGTTCGTAATAGGCTCATTAGTAGTGCGTGAAGGTTCAGTCATTTTTGGTGTCAAAACATAAGATGTGTTCTTTTTTATTTGTGCGTACTTGACCAATATATTTGATAGTTGATGTGTGAGAACGTTCCAGTTGGTGCGACGGTGAGTGCAGTGTTGTAATGTCTGCGACTATTACAGTGTGCACATGCTCTTAATGCGAGTAACGGGAAACAATGCTCATTAGCCGAAGGTTAGTCTTTTTATATATTTCTGTTTGATCTCGTTTTGATTTTATGTAGGTCATTAATGTTGATTTTTAGCGCTTAAAGTAACTAGGAAAATATAAAAGGTACGATTCTCTATAATTAAAGTAGATAAAAACTTTTTGTCAAAATGTCTGATAGGTATTTCTTGTCATTAAACACTCTCATATTTATTTTCACTTACATGGTAGTCTACATGCGTGTCTTCGTGTCCTCCGTAGTGTGCGACAGGCGCGTACGCAACCGCTTCATGTCCATAAGCTTCCCCGGCGTAACCGTGTCCAAGCTGGACTATTCCGGCGGAGGCCAGCGCCAACACACCAAGGATTACTGTTACCTGAACAGGGAATTACAGAGTTAGATAACTTCCAGCAGAGGTTTGAATTAATAGACTGCAGTGTAGCATACTATTATATATATAAATAGTTAAAAATGATGATGACGACGATGAACACAAATTATTACTTTGAAACTTGTATTACTACAATGGTTAGCAAGAGTATTAATGGTAAATTAGACTCCGACACAGTGCAGTGCACATCTTTCTTGAACTTCAACAAGATGCCATCGAGTTTTATAGGGTTAAAAGTGCGTAACTAATCCATTTAAAACTACCATTACAATAGGTACAAAACTGTTGATAATGACACAGTCAATGTAAGAAGCTTGATTTGTATTGATATATTCAGAATGCTATCGTAACCCTTTATTTGAGGCGATGGTCAATTAGGGTACTGTATCAACTGTCAGAGCACAAATTATAGAGAAGTGACAGCCTTTCACTCGATAAGGATTTGAAATCTAGGTTTGTTGAATAGCAAATCTGTTTGATTTTATTAAAAAAATTGGTTCCAGATTAAATCTTTCATACAAAAGTTTTCACTCAAAAGTGCTAAAAACTTTTTATTTAGTGAGAACAATCGATTTAAATACCATTTTAATATCAATAAACATTTTTTAATTAATATTTGCTAACCCAGAAATCTAAAGTCATTAGAACAGATTGATTGGTTTAATAATGTATTGATACAAAATAACAATATTTCGTAACTTCAAATTATAGTTGCAAGCAAGTTGCAAAATTTGAATAAACTTCGGCTAAAAATGGCTATAGAATATTATATCTGGTAATGTTTATATATTGAGTCACATATTTAAACTGAAGAAGCCGATTCCGACAATGAGATGGAGATTCTTTAAAACGTTTGATCAATAAGGACTTGCGAAAGTTGTGTGGACGCAAATCAATTACGAGTTAACGCGTTTTTTTGTGGATAGGGTTAATTGTCTCAAGAATTAACTTAGAAGAACCCAGAAAACGTAAACATATTTCTAATAAAAGGTGAAATTAATGTGCCTTTTGAAATTTAAGATCTGGATTGATATCCTCTCCTGACCTTATTTCATCAAAGGAGCAAACAATAGTTGATGGATTCGTGTAGTTTTTGGTGGTCTTAAAGCACTGTGTTAAGAGGATAAAATACACTACGGACAATAATAAATCGAGTGGCTAAAATTCACTAGCGGCAACGTCGCAAGTCCTTTCACAAAACAGGAGTAAACCACAGGATGCACTTACTCTAGCGATCATTTTCCGTTTGGATTAGGTTTGGCCCGACTGCACGATCACACACAACTGATGTCGAGGTTCGGAGCCTTCCACTTTTATATTAGTATACCGGCGAGATGCGACGCAGCACGCGGCCCGGCTCTACGCAAGAATACGGTAGTTTGATAATGATATAGCAATTACGTAAAATTACGTAGCATTCTATGGTTCAAGGTGATAAATAAATATTTTTTTGACAATTGAAACTTTATAATTGAAAACTTTTTTGATACTTATATCCTTTCTTCTATCCCCTCTCCAACATTTAAATCGTTCGATCGTCGCTGTGCTTGAAGACCTAATATCTAGGTCTAGGTGTATAGTTAAGATGAAGTGCTTTGAGAATTCTATCACGTTTCTCAACTTCAGTTTCTCTTGTGGATGCTGGAGATAATACGTGATCACAGATGGCTGCCAAAAGTTACGTAGAACAAATATATTTCATTATTCTCAGACAGATTCGCATACGGTTTCCAATTTTTGTTCAACCAATGAATATTATGGGTATCTCATTGTAAATTTATTTTATTGTCAAAGTTGTATATATTTTTTAAGAAGTTAGAAAGCGGATTATCCACATTGAAAAGGACTTTAAATGCGACTTATAAATTGAGCTTGAATTAAATATAACCGCATTTACGTTACATTTTATAAAATATAAATATAGATTTTTTTTAAAGTGCTGAGTATACTGATCGGCTCTATACATGAAGGCTAAATACCTTTTTAAGTCCAGCTGATCTAGAAGAAATTTATTTAAACATAGCCAATTAACAAATTGTCATATTTGGAGGTCGATATTAGGCAAGAATATGCTTATTTTGCTCTTTAACTTGTTTTAATATGTATTAAGTTAGAAATTCCACAATAAATACTTTCGAACTTGATGAATGAGTATTAGATTTGCTATCGACACATACTGAGAAACCCGTGGCAAGGAATTCAAATAGCGGCGTTTATTCGCCCACAAATACCATTTCCGTGTATTAGTCCTGCATTTGAATTCATCAAATCATAAGATTGTGTTGACAAGACATTGTGTTGTCAAATTATGCATCTGGGCTCGAGTTTGCACGCCTTTTCGTGTATTGCACATAAAGAGTTGATGACTTATCAACTCTGTTACGCATCACGCCAAACCGGAATGTCAGTGATTTAACACACGAAATGTGAGTTTTTTGTTTTAAAAATGCGCGCTAGAATTTTACGACTAATTAATTCTTTTAAAACTCAATTTGAGTGACGAGCCCACTGTTACTTAATCGTTTAAATAAATTAATAAAGCCCAGTACATTCTTCTCACCAAGGTACCTCGTTAACCTGTAATTACTAAGAGTAAGTAGAGCGTTGCCATGCGCGAGAGCAGCCAAAACACATAATGGTTGCAACTCGACCTTGCTAGGGATTATAAAACAATGTATTATAAGTTTTCGTCACGTTTTCGTACATTAAGTAATTAACCGATTTCTCAGTACAACTTGAGGCTTTAAACTATGTAATTTTTTGAATTAAACACATACGAATTGCTCTCGATTACAAAAATCTGTTGCGGCAGCTACTATTTACGATTTGAACAAATAGAGGTTCATCTTAATAATGTGTGCAGATGAAAAATGTGTTTGTGGAGATACCTGTCTAGTAGCATAGTTTAATTATTGTTTTATACTATATTTGTTTTATTGTTTTTTTAAGAGTATCGTATTATTTTGATGATGCATATGATTTAATAATAAAGCTCCTTAAAAAATAGTGTCTGCATAACCGAATAAAGTTGTTCTTTATATAGAAATGTCATTATGCTACATGTCATGTACTCGTAAATAAAAATAAAGTAGGTTTTTATAAAACCGTGACTGTTGGCTGCATATTCGTGAACTACATTTTCCATTTCATGATTGTAACATCAAGATCTCTCAAAAACGGCAAGTTACGTTACATTTGTAAAACTTCCGTCATCTGATAAAATTATGATGTAAGTAATGCACTCCTAATATAGTCATTATTTTTATAAACAAAGTGATTTGCTATAGAAGCATAGTAACTAAAAATAGTAGGTAATTAGGTAAAGATTGAATTGAATTAGTTCGACCATCGACAATAATCGACCCAACTAGAGTTCGCCACTTTGATAAAACCAGCATATGGTCTTGAGTTTTTTTATTTTTGTGTTTCAACGTCCCTAAAGAAAGAGCCCTGGTATATTTATATGTTGTTGATAGATGATACTTTAAATATTGTTTTAACGGACTGCAAGGCCTTGTGATAGATTTTTTTTTCTCTTTATTTACTAGTTTTTTAAGTATATGTGAGGGTCTGTACTTAATTTTCTGTTTTTCTAAATGTCATGTACACATCATACATACATATTGTTGTACATGTGTTTTTTTTACATACAGCCTTCTGTAAAGTATATTTAGTAATATACGATTGTACCTAAATAAATTGAGCACTAAGATACATTAAAGCACAGAAAAAATATCCTATACACATACATCTAAATACTTAGCACACAATGATATGCGATGATTGGCAGAAGAGTTTATTCCTTACCAAATAATATTATGCGTATGCAAACAGTGTATCTAACATTTTTTCTTGGTAATTAATGAAATTATTTTCCCTATTACGTCTTAGTATAAGCTTGAATAGTGAGACTAATAACCAATTAAAGTTACTTAACACCACATATCGGATGCGTATGAATTGTTTGCAGCGCTACTTGCGCCGGAGCCGACGCAACGTAAATTTAACCATACATGTTCACTTTCTGCTAACTTAATATTCGTACCATTTCCTAAATTCACTCGAAGCATGAAATCGATATTTTTTCTCTTCATAAATTTCTTACCTTTAGTACTTAGTAAAGTGAGTGTTCACCATTTTTCAAACATGAAATTGTAAATATATTGACGATTATTGCTTGCCCATGTTATTGCTTTTTATTAAAAAGTATTTACTTATTTTCAGTAATGGGTATAAGAACTTATAACCATCGAATTTTTGGGTGGATAAAAATAAAAGTCAACACGTATATAAGTATAAAATTAATAACAATTTATTTATAGAAACTATTTAAAATAAGATAAGTACCTACATTTTAGCACGTAGGTTAATTATATTATGTTATTTAGTGGTGGGTGGTGACGTAGTGGGCTGGGGCTGCGTGAACTAGTGGACCGGCGTGAACGAGAGGCGCCGCGTGAACCACAGGGGCGGCGTGAACAACAGGCGTAGCGTGAACTACGGGGGCTGCGTGAACAACAGGGGCCGAGTGAACCACTGGAGTAGCGTGAACCACTGGCGTGGGGCTCGGTGGCGCTGCATGCACTGATGGCTCCGAGTTGTGCACGACCGCATTGAACCTATAATTTACAAATAAGTTATTACCGTGCACCAACTCCAACTACACGTAACGAAACAACCAATTTGCAGTATTCAATACATTTCACTCATAGTGATAAACTGATTTTACGAGTAAATTGCATCTTATTAAGTTAATAACGATGGCACATTGTTATGCAGTTCGCTTGCGATGTTATACAACTAACATAACAAGCTATGGCTAGACAGGTGTTCTTCACAATTGCAGCATTGCGGAGTTCGGTGTATCGATACTATCTACGTTATCGACCGAAACAACACTCGATTTAGATTAAAACTATAATAGATTATTTGTAAATGCTATTAGTCTCGCCAGCTCGGATTCATTAGTAATTTATATGTTGGATTGGCCTTAACGGAGCCGAAGTGTTACGAAAGAAGACAGATGATGAGCAAGATCGTATGAATGGAGTTGAAGCGCGTGTTACTAACATTGTTACTATTTCCGTGCGACGCCATTTTTTATTCAATTGAATGTCGAAAATACGAGAAATGTTATCGAGATAAATCAGAATGATAGTTCATCTTGTAGTTTCATAGTTTGACACTGGCTTTTTAAAAAAAAACCAAGTCGATGGACCTTGACCAGTGAAAACAACGCACGTTTTGCTCTTTTATGTAAGAATAATTTTACTTACAGATTAATTATGTTGCAAATTTAATTAAGTTCGTACGTCATCAATAAAAATTAAAAATAAATAACCTGGTCAGCTTCATGGCCTACATACATAATATATATACCTGTATTTCCATGTGATACATTGAAAATGGGCAGTTGGTTCAACCGCCGTTGGACGGCGCCATCAATTGGCGCCGTCCATGAACACCTACAACATCAGAGGCGTTGCAAGTGCATTGACGGCATTATTAAGATAAGGGGTTTCGGGAATTTAAGGATTGGGGAGGGGAAGGATTGGGCATCACGTAAACTCACTAACGGTGAAATACAACGCTGTGGTTGTTTCGCGCCGGTTTTCTGTGAGTTCGTGGTATAGCTCCTGTCGAGCTGGGCCATTCTGGCCGAAGCATTGTTATCTCACACTTAAAAATTAGGAAGACAATGTTCTTACCCGTTTTGATCATCAGCGGTGTATTCGACCTTACGGACAGAACCGTCCGGCTGCAGCAGAGAGTACTCTCCCTTTACTACGTCGCCATCACGAGTCTCGTGCTGGGACTTGTGGTCACCGGTGTGAGGGTCCTCCACGGAGTACGAGAATTCGTATTTCGCAGGAGCCTTAAACATTAACATTAAATTAGAAACTAGTAGAATATTATGCTGTCTTAGTATTTAATTATTTTTGACGGGACTACAGGATCCTGAACCTTTCGAAGGCGTACGAGGGGACGAAGCCCGCTAGTGGGACATCAGCTGGCAATTATCCTTAAATTTACTATGAAAGTGCATCCAAGGACTATCACCGGTTGATGCAGTACTATTGTGAAATGTGGAAAAAATTGACAAGGGGGTGTTATAGGTATGGGTACTGATAGTGATGGGCTAGTAGACATGATGACTACCCATGGAAATACTGTGTCCCCTGCTTTTGACAAATAGTGATAAATACGGATAAACTGGTAGGGGGTGACTGAAAAACTCAGTTGATTAGACGGAAACGGCCGCCACACTATATACATTTGTTTGCTATTATTATGCTTGTAGTTTTTTCTACTAAACTTTCGATTTGTCCTGGAAAGGTCGAAGGATATTTTTACATTTTGATATTAAAATAGTAGCTGTAACATTTTAATTCGAGCAAAACATAATAAAATGTATATCAACGACCAGTTGTAATTATTCTAAGCGACTAGTAAAGTTTTATTAAAACATAAGTAAAGATTAAAACTATGATTAATAGACATCTGTCACAGCATAATAGTTCTAATTAGTCTTCTTTTTCGCAATTTAATTGTTTAACTGCAACAGGGAACGAAAACTTAAATGTTGATCAACATAAATGTAATGATGTTTTTGATAAATAGACGTTAATACCAATCATAGATTGATAGATTGCCCCGTACACGAGTTACAAAACTTTATAGTCTTGTAATAACTAGAGGATTACACAATATATATTTAATTGACTTCTATCAATTGATCACAATTTTAATTGTAATCGTACTACCTTTCACTTCACTTTGTTTGACCACGTGTTCGTGATATTTCTTTGACATTGACCTAGAGAAGTTGCACGCAACATTTACTAATTCAATTTAGTATAATTCAATTTCCTAAACATTATGTAGCTAAGCTATTAAATATTTATAAAGAAAAAATAACTGTTTATTTGCGACTTAAACAAATACAACATTTTCAGTAACTTAATAAAATTATTTTTATAAAATGTTTTCTTCTTAATAAAAAGTTTTATACAAAATTAATTGTTTAATTGCTATCGATTTAAGTGACGATAAGCTGATTAAAACGATGTGTTTGTGACAAAAAAATAAAAATTGCTTCTTAAGGGCAAATGTAATAAAGAGTCTCGTTAACACATTGAAAGCCATTTAAAGAAAATAAATTGTGTTAAATAATATGTTGGTATGTATGTCTGTTACTTAACAATAAACGTACCCATCTGTCCGAATATCATTAAAATAAAACGAATATACATAATTGTTCAGTTACCGAATGGATGACGTAACATCATAGTATGAGAATGTATCAGATGCTCGTGATTAAATCCGACAAATCTAATTACTTATGCAAAAAGATCGAGATTATAAATGTATAGATGATGCCTGCTTTTATTTCCTCTAAATGCTTTTACTATTGAAAGTGTACGCTTATATTAATTGGATACCGGACTTTAAATTGCGTACTTGACATTTACAATAATATTTATGGATTATACGATGCCAACTATAGCAAATTTCAATTGTCAAGAAATAAGTATCGTTCTTTTTCTTCACTCTCTCGTCCAAATTTCATAGCAAACTGTTGAACATTGGCAAAACAGTACTGAATTTGACTATTGAGGCATTTACGATTTGTATTTTTTTTTCATATCTACCAAGACTGATAAGCATTATGTCTACCAATCTCATAAAACAAAAAAATCTGACAGGCAATATATAAGTAAATAATTAAGTTAATAGGTTACTTGAATTCATAGTTTCTACGATATCTAATAAGGTATTTTAGAATCTTATAGTAACCCGCGATTTTTAGTTAATGTATGTCTCACGATAGTTATTAAAAAACTTCTAATCAATGTTTGACAATACTTATTTTTTGTACTTAAGACAAATTGAAGTGTTCATGTTAATTTGTTAAATGTTTTTCTAAAGTTTGCTAGGAGTTGAGATACTTTTATATAGGTACATACTGTAATCATAGAAAGGTTGAAAATTACTTACGTGGTGTTCGACTTGTTCGTCCTGTCTAATGGCGACGGGGGAGATATGCTGCACTACGGGAGCGTGATGAATAGCTGCCGGAGCCACGTGTTGGACTAGAGGAGCAGCGTGGACAATTGGGGAGCCATGCTGAAGGTACGCTGTCTGCTCGAAGGCAGGAACTGCACGAGGCACAACTGGGGCAGAATGCTGAGCCACAACAGGAGTATAATGCTGCTGCTGTTGATTACTAGACTCATCATGACGAACTATACTTTGACTAGAAACTGCTTGCCCATGTCTTTCTTCAATCAAACCGGCTTGGCAGAAAGCCAGTAAACAGCTGATCACTGCAATCTGAAATTTAATTTTTAATTATTAATAAAATGTAAAAACTAAACTTAATTTTTTTCAAAAGCTTCTTTCTCACTTTGAAGTGCATGTTGATGTTGTACTGGATGAAGTGTGGTACTCGATTGATAAGGATGCTGGTAGGGTTGAAGTTTTTATACGACGGAGGAAGCGACGGAGCATGTCACCCGATATAGAGAAACCGGCCCGATACGTGACACTGCCACACACGATCACCTTTGCACCTTTAATTACGTCATTGCGATTTTCATTTTCGTTCAAGGTTAAGTTAAAGCTGTTTTCATAAGTTTATTTCTTGGTTATAGAAATTTCTAGGCTGTAATTGCTTCAAAAAGAAATGCACGTTTCAGGCGTGATTTCTGTGTAAATGGATGTTATGTGAGTTATGATGGGATTATTGGAGGATATTTGATGGGACTCAAGCCTTTCTTACGATGTCGTATAAAATCAACATACAGCCTATCCTATATTCTATGTTTCGATACATTTAAAAAGTCATTTCCATAATTTTCATTACATTGATGCCTGAAGATACAAATAAAATACTTGCATTGAAAATTATTCACAAATGATAATAAAATTGCGTGTCTAAACCGGTTAATGAATTACTTTTATCAATCTTGTATTGATTCGTAGCACGATATGCATGACTTGCATATCTTAAATTCAAGATCTTTACATTTGACCGACAACTACATAATCTTTGTTAGTTTTGGTTTTGTTCCCTATAAATAAACTAGTGTTTAACTGAGCTTTAAAGATTTTCCTGTTATGACAGATTTGGTAAATGAGACATAATAAATTTATTATGTTTAATTATGTAAGTGTGTGACGAGGAGCTCGACAAGTTTCAAGCTAAACTGGGGAATCATATTGATGATTAGAATTACACAGCGAATTGAATTATTTCCATACAAAGCAATAAGCAATGTAAAATAAGCATAGTGTAGAAAATTAATTGTATTTCCAGGATCCATTAAATCAACTATTACAGTTGCTATTCAGATTTAAATTCTAATCAAGTGTAGATTTATAGAATTTATATAATGATTAGATTTATAACAACCGTCGGTTAATCAATTTGTGCATTACCCGTAAACAAATGTCTAATCGCGATTATCTGCACATAAACTATAGTAAAGGTACTACATACCAAACTGACCAGTGTAAACGGGTCCGAATAATATCAGCCGGTAAGAAAGTAGCGCTCTGGGTTGCACCGACTGATCCAGTAAACTCTTATGCAATATAAAGTTTTCATTACACCAGGAGTATTTAAATATTGGCTAGGGACTTATTGTTATTACCTATATTGTTTTTTTAACGATGTTCACATTCTGTATTATGTAGTTGATATTATCATCTTATTTATTTTAGTCTGTGTAATATATGTACAAGAAAAATACTGCATTCTTTTTTTATTTTTTGATCGCTCTAGGATTTTCATCTTATCGTGGGTACAAACATACAATTTCACGTACAGAAACACACCCAGACCCGAAACAACAATTTGTGGATCACATAAAGGGTTGATCAGTGCGGGGATCGAATCCACGAAACGTTGCGCTGTTCTATAAGGATACTATATGAATAAAAATATATATTTTTTGCATTATTTACGTTTTGGTCACAAAGGAAATGTATCTACGCGAATGAATAATAAATAAATAAATAAATACATAAAATAAAAATAAATTGATAAATGTAAACCTAAATAAAATTATAAAAGATACGATTTCGTTTACTGTATTATAATAGTGAAGTATAATGGTTGCAATTCTATACAATAAGCAAAGAAATTATTATTTTTATTATTCCCTATTATATTAATACTTACGGGATTTAACGCGGGATTTAACCTTTTATTTGTTTTTTGTTTTGCTTGACGTTTCGACAGGGTTAAACATGCCATAGTTAGAAGTAGACAGACTCCATTATATTATTTAGTAATTCTAAAATCAAGAGTAAAGTTTACAAAGTTCCCGGTAGGCACCCTGCCTTACGACCGGTGGAGCAAGTCGTCGCAAGCGCACCGCATATTTCCCCGATCGATTTGCATCTCGATCGTGACTTCTCGGCGATTCTCGCGGCTTTCTGTGAAGGTCACATGCTTTATATTTCATACGCACTCTGTCGCGAAACCTTTAAACTACCACCATATATCACACTGATTGTTATTTTGGAGTGTAAATTTTTAAGCTGTCAGAACTCCGAAACGATATTACGGAGATAGCCTTTAATGATGATAAGACTGTTGTGTAATACCATAATTTATATATTACAGTTGAATATCAGTTTACCAATAAAGTTTATTTCTGTACTCTATAACTTGTGATTTCATTTACGCATTGTGGAGACTACTTCCTGCTACAGAGTCAAAAGTATGGGGCCCTTTCTAAAATATATTAAACTTTATGATGTTAAGACGAGTAGTATTTTATTGAGTGTATTAGAGTGTTAGCTACTCTAGAAGGTACATATTATAATATCATTATTGTTAAACCTATCGCTCGTCAGTTTCCCACGCCACTGATACTAAAATGCATACAGATGCGTCCTACATCGTGATTGATGTTAGTCTTGGTAGGCTCGAATCTCTAATGCAGATCTGAAATCTTGGAGCAATCTACGTAATTTACGCGAACATAATAGAGATTTATCAAACATGATGAGTGTAATGACCTTGTAGTAAGAACCATGACGGATCATATCAATACTATAAGTCTTGGAATGTTAGTAACTGTTCCAAGTGTACAAGTATCACGCAACTGCGTATGAGCATTGAACATATGCGTTACAATTATATCCAATGTCACTGTTAACTTTAGTTTAGTACTTAATCAAGGTAAAATCAAGGCAATTTAATTAAGAATAATTTCCTTATAAACAACAACTTTACCTTAAAAGTAAATGACATTTGAACCTGATTTCTCCGAATTTCGATTACGATATTTTACATAAATGATACCGGTAAATCTTCGAAAATAAGAATGTAAGATGCTTTTATTGGGATGAGTACGAAAGGGTACGTTTCGCAACCCACATCAATCAAGATGTTAATAAAACGTGGGGCACTTGATAATCTACTGACAATTATGGCGATACATTTTGGATATTGCGATAAAGATTTTGTAACACCATATTGAAGTCAACCGAATTAATTAACGCAAATGAACTAAGTGACACGCGTCATCTTAGTTGGTTTAATAAAGTTGAAGAAGTTTTAAATGTCAGCGGTTTGCACTTTAACGAAGTGTTTGAGCCATTTTTGTGTGTAATGATTAGATGATGTTCAACATGTGTTTTGATAATTATTTTTTAAATTAAATGCTGCCTATAAATTCAATTTGGTTTGATTTATTTAAATGAAATATTAAGGAACCGTATTTAAAAATTGACAGATATTTAATCTGAATGGAATATGAATTATTAAATCCTGAAAATATGACACTGCTCGAAGCCCCTAAAAATTTAGAGTAGTCCTCTATGTTTCGAAGCGGGTCCTGTGTTTGAACAAGACGGTAGGTTATACGTTAGTAGATGGTAGACTTCCAAAAACTTAACGTCTAATAGCTCAGCTTAGCTTTTACTTTCTCTCTGAGAATAATAAGGCGTGATAACTATCTCCTAACTTATACTTATTTAGTTTTTTACTTTATTTTTAGTGGATGAACGTTGATGTTTCGATTCGAACTTTCCGAAGTTTCACCTTATACGTGGTGACATAAATCTGACATCGGTTTAAGTGGAAGCCGTTGCTACATCAAAAACTTGCCGCAAGCTTCGCTTACGAAGAAAGGAGCATTAAATTTCGATAAATCGGCATCTAAAACTGTACGCAAATATGAATTACGTGCAACACCTACGCTTCGTCGCATTTCTGTCACATTGCAGTACGCAATAAAGGTACATACTGGATCCAAAGTCGTTATGTAGTCAGTCGATATTTGTGTGATCTCAATTGCTAAATGTTTGAATATTAAATAGGTAATATAGGGTTTACCGGCTACCTGAGTTGGGTTGCGCGGCGGTTCGCCAGACTTTAGTTCCGCTAGTACATTTGCTTTCACTCCTTATTTCGGTTCGGACATTGTATGGTAATGTTGATATGCAATTTGGATGAGATCTCATATCTTCTCACGCTCCACTGGACTTGTTAGTGCAATTAACACGTTCAGTCCAATGCATGCACTATCGCAACGTTTTGTTTCGTCTATCACCGTTTACCGTTGTTCTAATTGTTATTTCAGATTGCAATTTATTGTGAAACTGAAGAACAGTTTTCGTATTTAATTTTTTTTTTATTTCAGATGTTTCATGTTCTACTTATTTATAAGTATATGCGTTTACTTAATTTATTGTGTCTAACATTAACGTTTGGCTGTAATTATTTTATTTTTAAGTAATCACAGTCTTTGCCATTTCTGCTAAATGTGTGCATTACTAATTCAAAAACTTTAATGTTTGACGTAATAAAAGTTCAATTTAAAATTCGATTCCTTATTCTATACTAAAAAAGTTGTTAGTGATTTATTTCCATTAAAAAGTAAGCTAGGGCTTGAGATGCTGATCGATAGTTCTTTCAATAAGATTGACGTACTTTTTTATCCTTTTTTATATAAATAAACTTTGCCCCACTAGGATTTTTTACGTGTCGTAGGTGCATTGATGAACATAAAACTTTACATGCGTCCCGACCCGGATCGACGATTTACAGAACACTAAAAGAATTGTTCCGTTAGAACCGTAATTAAAATTACGTAATATTTTTTACAACTCAATTAAAGTACAGTTAGCATTGCAAAATTATTTACTTAGGTTGGCCGACATCTCAATCAATTTCCTTTTATAATATTGATTAATAATATAATTATAAAGGATCAATATATTATTTTGATTTCCGACTATATTTTATAAGTATCAAAAATGGCTTCCTTTCACGTAACGATAACTTCCTTCGAATTGACTTTTCGTCATCATCATTCGACAATTTGCTATAGGTGACTTGATAAACCGGCTCTTGGCTTATGGACCCTCGGTGAATCCGAATGTTCGTCTAATTGTAGGTCACTTGTTGACCAAGGTATTCTTGACAATATATATTTTTTTAATTTTTTAGTTGTAGTCCTGTTGGTACCTACATGGAAAAATTGCAGTGTAAGAGGAATTGGTTGACTCAATCAGGGTGATACCACGGTCTTACAGAAACCCAGCGTGAAACAACTACAGTGTTTTGTTTCGCCATGTGAGTGAGGTTACCGAGGCCTTAATCCACCTTGCCCTTCCCCTATCCCTCAGCTATACCCAAATCTCCGAAATGTCTGCTCGTTTGCCGACCCATTTCATAAAAAAATACTTTTCTCCTTTTTCTGATTCTGATTTATCTTAGATTTCATGCTACATAGTTTATGCAGATAACGAGTTTAAGTCTCTACTAAAAACTGTGCAAATGAAATTTAATTCCTCGTCATCTAAATGACAAATTTTGATATACATCGGTGTCATTCACCTACTTTGATTTTCTGGTCTTTCTTTAAATTAAATTACTTGACTGATAACACTAGATGTCTAATTGATTAGAAAAATAATCGTGGTTAACTATCTGATGTCCTGCTTGTCATAGTTGGTGTAAATAATTATGTATTTTTTAATTAGGCTCACACGTGTTCCACGTGTGCCATTTTCTTAGGAGATATAAAATTTAAATCTTATGTTAAGCACAATTAGATGTTGACAGACTTTAAATAATGACTACATTTTATCCTAAAAAAGGGATAAGTCTTCAATCTCAGCTTATTACATTTGCAACCTCGGTTTCTCTTAAATTGAGACAAATTGTCGTTTTCGCGAAAGGTTATTCCAGTGACCTGTAATCGATAAACATTTATAATCATCGATCAAGCTGACTAACGTCTGTTCCATTAAATATTATTTCAAATTATTTTATTCAATTCTAATAAAATTTTGATAATTACTTATTTTTTTAAATTTTTAAGAAAAAAATATGCTTCTCTTTTTCGTAAAAATGCTGTAATAGAGTTTATGCTTGAAATATATACAACATGTCATCAGCCTTTCTAATAAATAAACTAGAATAATGTGTGATACGAATTTGGGCTTTATTTATGTTGACTGCTCCTCTTTATAATAAACTAACGGCCCGCCCTCTCTTCGCACGGGTCCAACTATCTCGCTATCAAACTCATCACTTTTTCCTAATCTTCCCCTCTACTTTTCTAATATTTTCTTTGATAAGAACATTCTCCTGACTATAACAAACACAACAAAAAAAAAATGGTATAGGCGTTGTTGAGTTATGCGCTTACCCACACATCTTGCGATCCATTTTTATACATTTATATATTAAGCCTCAATAAGATGCTATTAAATATAGTGGATATTATTGGTATTGAAGTACATAATATTTTTTTTCAAACGGTGAACAATTTTCGTATTACATGTAGTATCACAAAATTCTATTTATAAATTAATTGTCGATTAAACTGATAAATGTCGTTTTATTTCTATCTTCTGGTTTCTGGTAGTAAAATGGCATTACCATTATGAAACGTCTTTTCTTTTAATTGATATTATTTAAAGCTCTGTATTTTCTGTAGTAAGAGCGTCAGTACCAACATTAAAGGTTATAGCAGTGAACAAAAAATGGCATGTCCCTTGCTCGTTACTTATGATCGGTAATGAAGCAACAAGTTTTCTTTAGATGGCTCTTGCGCATATACAATTATAATAAATATTGTAATAATTACAATAATTTAATTAATTTTTATTTTATTTTGAACGTAATGTTACCATAATATAATTAGATACAGTATAGCAATTAAAAATGAGATAAGTGTCTGATCGAAATGTCGGAAGTGTATTATTGTTATTTCGTCATTTTTTTCATTTAATAAAGGCAAGCATAACATGATTTCACTCTTCTATTTATAAGAGAAAATACACACAAATAATTATAAAACCACTTACATTATCATCATCTTTATTGGACAAAGCTAAGCTATATACAATGTATTGCCCACACCAAACAGAAAACCGATATACATGCCGATAACATACATCTACGAAGACCATTCATGAGACAGATTCAACTCTACATGCATTTTATTTACAGGAAAATGTTTAAAATACATTACATTCATTATGGCTACAGTCTTGAAGATAATATTTCAGTACCAACGACAACCATTTACAAGCAATCATGTTTCACTCCTATACACTAGTCGTGATTTGAAACTAATCGATCCAGTCTCCATTTATGATTGTTGAAACAGATTGTTCCTACTTGTTGTCGCTGGGCCCGTCCTAATGCACTGTAGTGTATTACTAAATATCATTAATGAGAACAGATGGAAGGCTACACACTCGACTACAAGAACACATTAACACTAATATCACAGATTGGGTAAATAACCATTTAATGGTGGTGGATCACGGGCGGTGAGTTGTGGACGACGGCGTTGAATCTGTAATAAAGAACACACTGATTTTAATTTGTTTCTTACAATGACGACTTGTTATGAGAGATTTATAGTAATGAGCTTAATAATTGTTAATCTGATATAACATTTGTTTGCTTACCCATTGTGGTGGTCAGCGGTGTAAGTGACCTTGCGGAAAGAACCATCAGGCTGCAGCAAAGAGTATTCTCCCTTAACTACGTCACCATCACGAGTCTCGTGTTGAGACTTGTGGTCGCCGGTGTGAGGGTCCTCAACAGAGTAGGAGTACCCGTATTTGGGATGAGCCTGCAACGCATATTATAAATAAAGTGATTAAGCCGAACATCGATAAAAAACTCTAAGTAATCAATCAATTTCATGTAAAGTTGCCAACTCAATAGAAATTTCTCATAGGTCAATTGAAAGGGAACTTAAGATTAATTGGTATATCTAGTTTATAAATATGTTCTTACGTATTCATCGACGTAGTGGTCTTCGTGCGAAGGAGCAGCGTGGACGGCGTGGACAGCGGGAGCTGCGTGAGCGATGGGTGCAGCGTGGACTACGGGAGCAGAGTAATGTACTGGAGCCTCATGGTGGACGGTCTGGTCGTGGCGGACGATGCTCTGTGAGGAGACAGCTGGCGCATGGTGAATGTAACCAGCCTGGCACGCCGCTACCAGGGCACAAGCGAGCACTACCTGATGGGAAACAATCAGATTTTATTTCTTTAGCCCGCCACTCGTCATCAATTATAGCTAACTAGAAAAAAATCTAGGAAATCATTATTGAATTCAAAACGAAAATGTCCTGTTTTGGAATACGCAGATCATTTTGTGGCCACACAACTTTCAAAGTACAACTGACTAAGCTCAAAACGGGCAATTGGACAATGTAATCATAAATTACGTCGAGCGAAATTGTCCTAAATGTTATGTAAGTCCCACTTAGCCTTTATATGAAATAAGCTTACTTTGGAGAACATTTTGCTTTAGACTCAAATGTCTTGACTGGTATCGGTATGATAGTGCACTCTTTTTATATAACAAACAAAACATAAGCGGTGTTTGTGGAGGGGGTCTATTCCCGACGATATTCGATCGGATCACAGTAATTGCCGCATTGCCAATCTGCTCGCTTTATCGAGTGTCGCAACGCTCGATATCGCTACAATATGTAGAGAAAATGGACGATAAGTGAGAGGCCCATATTGTTATGATTTTTTGTGATTGTTTAGCCCGATGATTGTATTCGATTTTAGACATAAATGCATTGTTCATCAGTGCAGTTATTCCACAAGACACTAGAAACTAGTTTAGTATGTTGTTGATTCATTCAAGTTTGTAATTTTCTAAATTATATTTATGTTAGAACTATTTGTAGTAATTTTAGACGGTAAATTTTATTCGGTTTTTAATTTAGAAATTGTGTGCTCTTTTAGCACTCGTATAGGTGGAAATTTAACAGTTGGTTCACGTGCTTAACGTTAACCAACTGTTAAATTTTAATCTTCTTACTTGAGGGCTAACCGCAATTTGAGTAGTTAAAAATTGATATTTGATAGTATTTTATAATATGTCTCGTTCTTCAATAAGAAAATCTTTTTATCAATTATTAATTACCTAAGGAACCAGTTGAAAAATCTTTGCAAGTTGGTACCACTATTTCCTTGAGCTATAAAATTGCATAATTTGTACGTAGGTACCTATGTCATTCTGTAAAGGTGATTAAAACTGTATTGTCTCACGCTTGCTCATGCAACATCTATTGATGATGTGTCTAAATCGGAAGTTACTCTAAAGATGTTGGAAAATCTTCGATTTTGTTCGTGATTACATCTATGCTATTGTTTTAGCTTTATTACATAAGTTTGAAGAAATATATTTTCTATCATTATATCATTTGTCGATTGCCGTCTTATCTATATATGTAGGTATATAAAAATGGATCGCAAAATGTGTTGGTAAGCGCATAACTCAACAGTCCTGGACCAATTTTGCAAATTCTTTTTTTTGTTAAGTTTGTTATTTTCAGGAGAGGGTTCTTATCAAAGAAAATATAAGAAAAGCCTTTGATAGCGGGATAGTTGGACCCGTGCGAAGTGGGGGCGAGCCGCTAGTAATAAAAAAAAATATCAATTTATTATCAAGCTCTTATATGATTCGGTTAAAAGGTGAAAAATCTAAAACAAACATATTGTAAATGAAGGAATGGGTTAGCTCAACAGAGTTGTATATACTCCAATTGACTGCAAGGTTGTGACTAGGCGGGCTGCCGCGCAACGTATCGCGGGTTCGATATCCACACGGAACATCTCTTCGTGTGGACTGGAATCCACGAATTATTGTTCCGGATGTGGGTGTGGTGTGTATGTTAAATCGTATATTTGTAAAAGCACCCACGATATAGCAGAATAAAAGAGTGTGGGTCAACATTTCTTTTTTAAAAAGAAAAAATAATGTTCAAGCCAGCAACTCTTTGCCGTCCTGTCGCATAAAAAAAGTTGCGTTTTGAGCACCATTGCAGTAGCTTATTTCCACCATCAAATACATTTTTCATCATCCTTAATTTGGGTTATTCCTATTTTTGTCTAATTATTTCCTAATGATGCTGGAAGACAGATGTAAAGAATTTTATTCGCACAAGAATCTTTCTTAAATCTAGGTTAGATCTCTAAATACAAACTAGTGCGTTGTTGAAGATCATAACTAATTACCTTGTCCCTTGTTTACAAATTAGTACAGGGTTCAATTTTGGTTTTTTACTTTACTTCCTATTGCATCACATGCGTTACATCTCTAACGTATACTGCCGTATTTTACGGACCTGGAACAGCGCAGGAGTGGAAATGGGAAGGTGATCAGTAACAGTCTGATACCTCTTCCGTCTTAATAAGAATTTTTTTTACTGAGGGGAAATTCACCATATTATGTGGGGCGAGCTACCTTTACTAGCCGTCCACAGACCCGTGCTTACGGTGGCCGGAGATCATCTCTCGATCCCCGACGCCCGGAATGTCGCATTCCGCAACGGCTGGGGCGTGAGGAGGATAGGTCTTAGATCTGGAGGCGTCGTCAATCCCAATAAAATTTGCCTTGTAATACAAATGGTAGGAACTAAGGTTTATTAAGGCATTGTTAAAAAATTACATGTCATTCTATCATTGTTATGTTAAAAGAACGACTTGTCTTATTTTGCTAATACCTGCCACAAATAGATACACATACAGAGCAGCTCCTATATAACAGAGATTGTTAATAAGGAAGTAGCAATTCTATCAAGGGTTCAGTGAGCACCAATAGCGTTGTTCTGTAAATAGCTGCCAACATTTATCAACGAAGGTTCCACCAGCGAAAGTGCAGTTCGCTGTCGTTCTTGCTCCACTTTATACTAATTATTCCAAGATAAAGCTAGTTATACAAATATTTTACGGCCGGTAACTTATATAGTTGTTACATAATTTTTGAGGGCGTATGAAAATTGGGAATAATTTTGATCTGATTCAGTTGCTACCTAACTTCCTGACTATGCAATGAATAATGTTTAGGTACAGTTTTGTCAGCACCTAACTGGTTGTTTGTTGGCTGTACTTAATAATTTCCTTAATAGACTATCGATATTTAAAGTCGGAGAGTGTTAAGGAATGTACGTTCGTAACCGTAATTAGAGGAACGTTGGTAATCCAGTTCAACGAGATACAACCAATAGATATAATTTGTATTTATTGCTGTGTTAATTGATATTCATTGGTTTGGTTATTTTCATATGAGTACGTATCAGTATCTACGTCCTTAAGTCTGTTTCTGATCCATTATATACTTACTAGCTTTTACTCAGGAATTTTTGGCGTGGAATAGTGACGTCCTGCAGATTTTAGATTCAAAAACTATCCTATGTCCTTTCTCAAGTTCCAAACTATGTCTTTACCGAATTTCACACAAAGACGTTAGTTTAGGCGTGTGTAACAGACAGACAGAGTTACTTTCGCATTTATAATATTAAGTTTGGATAAATAGTCATATAAATAATCAAAAACAAAAACTTAAGACTCCTACCTTTTCTTTATTATAATGAGCGTCTGTTAGATATAACCCGTTAAATATTAAATATTGAAATTAAAATAACAACAGCTTAATTCGCGTGGAATATGACGTACTGCAGATTTTAGGTTTAAAAACTATCCTATGTCCTTTCTCAAGTTCCAAACTATGTCTTTACCGAATTTCCCACAAAGACGTTAGTTTAGGCGTGTGTAACAGACAGACAGAGTTACTTTCGCATTTATAATATTAAGTTTGGATAAATAGTCATATAAATCATCAAAAACAAAAACTTAAGACTCCTACCTTTTCTTTAGTATAATGTCTATTAGATATTACCCGTTAAATATTAAAAATTGAAATTAAAATAACAACAGCTAAATGTCAATAAATCCTATCCTAATTTCTACAATCATAATTATATAGAATTCCCAACGAGAAATTAATTCCTATTTAAATTATTATTATACTTAAATGCTCATAAATAAAAAATATAATATGATATTAAAATTGACTGAAATTAATTGCATCATAATAAATGTATATTAATAATTGACTTTTCCTTACCACTTCCCTCACGCTACCGGCAAAAAAGGATTAATATCCGATGTCTTAAAGTAAAGGTCATGGTCTATCACTAAGCAAAATTTCATCAGAATTCATTCCCTAATTTTTGTGTGCTAGAGTAACAAACATACAAAATGGTTCGTAATTAAGTTACAAGTACAGATCAATCGTTATTGGAACAAACTTCGTCATTTATGCTGATATGAATGAATGGTATATGAACTGCTGTTATTGATAGTATGAGTGCAATTTAAAAGTATTCAAGTAATTTGATTCCAGAACACAGATCTCAACTCTACCCTTCATTAATTTGGTGAGAATTCGAAAATCGTAAACTAGTGTGGATGAGCCTTGATTACTACTGTACTAATGATATCGCAGTCTTACAGAAAATGCCACTTAGTCTGTGTTAGGTTACCGGATGGTAAACTCCATACCCAATTAGTCCAATTCTAAACTTTCTGTCTTCTAAAAGGCCAGCAATGCATTCTAAACTTCTCTGGTGTTGCAAGATTGTAGGTATTAGGGCTTTTTCCCGCTTTAATCCGTAAAAATCAACTTCGGTGCAGGCTAAGTCCAAGAAAGCACTACAACCCCAGCCTGGAGCAGGGGAAGGAACGGGGGGGAAGGTTTTGTCCGACTGAGTCTGACATACTTTCCCATTACACCCAGGGAAATAATTCATTCAACGTTTTCTACCCTCCAAAAAGCCATATAAAATTTAAACTTATCGTAAAACTTATTGTCTTCAATACCTAGGTCAATTCGAGTAAACATTAAATTATTAGTTTTAGAAACCAACGTATTAATGGCAGTGTCGTAAATTATTCCGTCTAATCACATTTGAGTAATTTTATTTAATCAATTAATTTAATAATAGGAAGAAACGCTTCGTATTCTTTTCTGCGCACCCGTGGGTAGTTAAAGCACTTTCCACGCAAAATGCGAGGGCCATAGATAATGATAACGAATCAATAGTACGCGTTATTAAATACTATTGAACAAACCGACCACAATTAGGACCAGGAAGGCTCACGAGGGACCAAAACTCTTGCTCATCTCTACTCAAGCCAGCCGATTAAAGTAAAAATGTGTTCACTACAACTAGTCACGAGAATTAGCCGGGGCTCGCCTGTGCCCAACAGCTCACCACAAGCTATTTTGCGGAGCAGAAAATATATTACTATTTATCTTTATATAATAAACTTGATTGTTTTGGTTATTTTATTTTTTGGTATACTCTTGCTTTGTAATTATACTATGTTTATTTGATGTGCGAAACAATGCAGTTTAACTATTATTAAATTTAACGAAAATTTGAAAAAATAATATCGCAATGTACCTCTTTTTTGAGAGGGAAAATCATCAAATGACTTATCCAACTTCGTGTGGGGCGAGTGACTAAAAACTACCTTCTCTTATCCAGACCAGAACCGAGGTACATTATTTGGCGCTGCAGAATCTTAATAATACCCTAGTACTTTGTTAACGAATCTTTGAAACCGCTAGGACCGCTTTCAGCATTCGCGAAATTGCACTGGTGACGTTCCAACAAGGTAGACACAAATATTTTTATTAAAAAACAAAAACAACAAAACTATGCCAGTGTTTCAAATGTAAATAATAATTACTTTTGTGAAATAGTCATTATAACATTGTCAGAATCATGCGTAAGTAGTCTGTGCAACGTCTTGCATAAACTCAAATCTGGGACTCCAAATTAAAAGAGAATTCGTTTAAAGGCCTTTTGAAGGTGGAATACACTGTCCACATTCATTTGTCGAGATAAATGATGCATCTCTTCATTCTTAGCCTGGCCCGTTTTTTCAAGTTCCAACAGCTGTCCAAGAGAATTTCGTTTCGTAATATTAATTTATAGCTTCACTTTCCGGTTTTTGCATGTGAGTAATTATGTGAAGAAAAAACTGCGAGATCTGCATAGCTTAATAATATTTATGACCAAACTTATAAAAATGATTATATTCGCACCTTTGGTATGAAAAAACCATAACAATACGGTAGTTTCCAACTATCAAATTCAGTACTTTTATCCAAATGTTAAAATTATAATTTCTATGAAATTTGTATGGAATTCGAAATTATTACGTAATAGTATTTTTGAGTCAAATAGCTTACTTATTTCTTAAAAAAATACTGAAATATATCGAAAATTGACACAAAATTTTTGATATAATTTTATTAAATTTTTCGATAGATCAATGAATGAAAGTAAGTTATTTTTTTATGTTGTTTTGTATTGAAACGTCGAATGAATTTTTTAGACCTAAAAACTACCCAATTTGGTTAAAGAACATCATTACACGAAACACTTCTCAACTTCTATTCGAGATCAACACACGAAAGTAATATGTAGAGCCCTCTACGAGAAATATACGATACTTTGTGCAACAGTGCTGCCATCTTATTACGCGCGTAAGTAATAATTGCACATGTCGATATGGCAAAAAGTTCATGAAAAGTAAAGGTGGAGCTGGTGTCGTCTAAATAAAATAGTGAAGCTAGATATTATAGTAATATTAATTTATTAAAACACATTAATGAACAACATTAACAAAGAAAATAAAAACAAAACAAGCTAGTTATTACATATGACTTATTTGCTTATGATACTAATCAACAAGTTATTTGAACCAAGTTAAAAGCCAACATAGTATATTCTGGAGTGGTAAAAAGATGATGCTACTTCAGAATCTAAGGGTTGATCCTCCTTAGGTACTTGGTCTTCCGTTGTGGCTGAAGGTTCTTTTGCACTTTCTTCAGTCTTTTTGACATCAGTCATTGAGATTTCATTATTTATTTTCTCGTTTTCGGGGTTAGGAGTTATGACAGACACCATGGCTGGGACAACTTGAACCGTTTCGACTACATCGGCTTTTGGTAAAGGTGTAGTCTCTTGAATTGGTTCTTCTACAAGCATGACTTTGTCTGCTGAGTTAATTAGCATCATTTTAGTAGGCTCCTCATCCTTAATAATATCACTTTCTCTCTCTTCATGAACAGGCTTTTTTTCATTGTTATTTTCTTTTTGTTCCATCTGTAGGTATTGGTAGTTCTTGCCGGGGAAGTAGTGATTGATCTTGATGCCGTGACCTACTGGGTAGAAAAATCTTGTGTGATCCATGACTGAAACTGCATGATCTCCGTGTTTGTTCACTGTTTTACTTACAACTGCGTTGAATCTGTAATATTAAAAAAAGTAAAATAAACTATTACATCATATGTAGTTGAGATATTTTTAAGTTGCACATTTAAACGATACACTAAATTGGAGGAATTTGTAACTCTAATTGTATACTATGAATATTGATACTCAAACATACTCTAACAAGAATTAAAAATATGATTCTGCCTTAAGTACATTACTAAATAAAACTGTCGGTCTACGAAACAAACTGTTAAACATTAAGAAATTATGTAGATGTATTTAATTTTACCTTTAACAATCGTGACAATTAATAGCAAGTGTAAAACAGATAAAGAAGAACGAATGAATATGCAAAACATGAAATTTTGATGCCAAATTTGTAAAAATCGTGATTTGATTTAAATTCACGGCCAAACCAGGGTCAGGGTGAACTAGTATGATTTTTATTTACCCATTGTGATCATCAGCGTGGTACTGCACCTTCCGTAGTGAGCCGTCGGACTCCACAAGGCTGTACTCCCCACGAACTCGGTCGCCGTCACGTGTCTCATGGTGGTGTTTGTGGTCTCCCGTCTTTTTGTCTGATACTGAATACTCGAACTCATATTTGGGATATGCCTGGAAGTAACGTTGACATTATTATATTTTGTGAGTATTATGATACCGTTGATTGATTTAATAATCAAAATGTATCTGTTTTCCTATGACTACGAAAGAAACTCTGTAAAACATGATGAAAGTGGAAGTCGAACGCATTGCCCGAAAAAACTAGCTAAATTAAAATCTTGTACAATAAGTTGGTAGGTATCTAAATATGTAAGAATGAGTTCTAATTTCGATTTGTCATGACAACACACGTAAACTGAATCCGGTTATTCTTTTTGTGCTGTATTTGCTAAGATCAGCAAACTTTTTAGTATTGGAGTGTTCACAAACAAAAAAAAAATGACTGACACCAAGGTATTTGGAAATCCTTGTAAAAGGAGACGGGCACTTTTTTCCTTGGCTTTCCGTATATAAAATTGATCAATAAAATGGCACCTGTCTCAAAATATTTGCTATTTAGATTAGCAAAGCCATAATTAGCATGTAAATATTTATGCATTAATTATTTCACCCACATTTTGCTGTCAATGTGACATTCCTTGCTAGGTAACTTGAGAACAGTATTAGTTAGGCAATTACAAATTCTAATGAGTACATATATACTAGAGTTGTAATTTGAGAATGCTACTCCCTTTCTCTATATATAATGTAGATTTAATATAATTTAGTCCTTGAGGTATTAGGTACTTACAAAAGGCTCGTATTTGTACATATACGTTGACTTGGGCGGGTGGTAGGTTTTCACCATTTGCCATCCATGAGAGTTATCTTTGTCCTGTTCTGGTTTTTGATCAATTAATACTGCTTGGCTGATGCCTATGATACAAATTGGTATAAAAATCTGAAACAAATGAACATCCAAGTAAGATTAGTAAAACAATATAATCTCAGCGTTGTGTTTCGCCGTGTGAGTGAGGTTACCGGAGGCCCAATCCTTCCCCGCCCCCAATCCCTCCTGAATCCCTAAATCTCCAAATCCCTAATCCCTAAAAGGTTAGCAACGCACTCGTAACTCCTCCGTTGCGGGTGTCCATGGGCGGCGCTGATTGCTTACCATCAGGTAATCCGTCTGCTCGTTTGCCGACCAATTACATAAAACAAAAAAAAAAATCTTAAACATTATTTCGTTCTTCGTATAGATTTCTTTAGTATAATTAATTTTTTAGAAAGAGCATTTTTAAGTAGTTTTGGGATATGTTACCAATTTTCATTATACAAATTTTATTTCAGTAAGTATTCAGTAATGGGCGCCAAGTCCTTAGTGTTAAAATTATTAGACACAATAATTTATTCACTGTAAGTTTCAAGCTGCAATATATAAACACTCGCTGTCCTAATGAAATCCAGAAAAAGCTAATTTAATTTATTGCAAAAAAGCCAATTAATATATTGGTAAAATAATGAGAATAAAATTTTGTTACCTTTCCAAACATGTTGAAGCACTTAATTTGAACTGTCGCCAACAGAATGTAATAGTTGACTGTTGATTAGAAAGAGGAATATAAACCATTTTATACTATTCCAATACTTATTACATAAATTTCGCTAAAATTTTATTATTGACATACTATTGTTCGATTCCAATACGTAAGAATATAGAGGATTGGCCCAAATTTTAATCAATACAAATTTATTGATAGAACTCGAACCTCAAATTTAACAGAATTATATCATCTATCTCTCGTATAAAAAGCAATAATATAGAATTTTACAAGTTCTCTTTATTTCTAAGTCGTTGTTGCGGCGTATCAACGTTAGTCTAGCCCGGAACTTGAAAGCTGTTATCGTATCATCACTATCCAAGTGATCAAAGGAGGCTTTGAGTACATATTTCTTAGCGTGTCGAATGGAGGAGACTTGGGTTAATGGGCTCTATAAGATAACACAGTTAGTAATTTAGTTCTAAAACTACATAGAAATATTTTTAAAGAAAGAACGTACATCAATGTATGCTCGTTCGATAAAATACGTTTTATAATTATGTGCGAAGGATGGATAAAAGAATAGATGTTTATTACAATCTCACGTAAAAGGACTTAAGGTATCTAATGAAATTCTATATTGAGATATTATAGTCTGGAATAACACATAGAATCTGGAGTCTGGAATAATACTGTGGACGCAACCTCTGTCAGAAGCAACAGTAAATAAATACATACTTATAACTAGCTACAGTAGGTATACCTAAAACGAAAGCGATATTATTGCGTCAACCAGGTTTGAATTAGCCAGAGGGCAAATACATTGCGCGTTCCACTATGCGATATATGGCCTTAACAGATTTTTATCTCTTTGCACTTTAAGTTGGCCCTTGACCCATAAGGTTCGGGTTGCGCTTGGCCTTATTCTCAGTATTAAAACGGGTCAAACAAAAAATAATTATGTATAAACTAAACATGGGACCTTCAAAATAACATGGCCCTCGAAAACACCTTGATTGTATGGATACTTTTGAATTGATTAATTATTTTAATTGCATGTATGAACTGTTTTCCTTAATTTTAAAGTTTTTACTGGTCCATTTTGTTTAATTCTACTCTCACAACTAAAATTTCACAAAAGAGAGAGGATTTCGCCGCTAGTGCTATCTCACGGCATCAGAACAATTCAATAGATCCAAGGAATCTATTGTTCGGAAGCACGTAGCGACATATTGTGTTCGCCAGTTTTAATCAATAGAAGTGTCTGATGAAACCATAAAAATATAGAACTGACTATGCAAATATGTAGATAGTTCACCAGTTCGTTAGTTGTAAATGGTTTAATTCTATTAGTTCCAAAATGATAAATCAAACTTTTATCGAACTTACTCGTATATTTCATAAATAAATTATTCAACATTCATTTTGGTCAACATTGCTTAGTTGTTAAAGTTTGGTCTTAGTGGTGGTAGTAGTGGGCGGGAGCAACAGCCTTGACGACTACGGGGGCGGCCGTAGGCGCGGTGTTGTGTACCACAGCGTTGAAACCGTGGTGGTCGTCAGCGGTGTATTCCACAGTCCTGATGGAACCATCGGCTTCGTGGAAGGAGTAAGAGCCCTTTACGACATCACCATCGCGGGACTCCTGCTGGGACTTGTTGTCGCCGGAGTGACCGTCAGCAACAGAGTAGTTGTACTCGTATTTGGGGTAGGCTACTTCCTCGGGTCGAGCGATGACCTTGGTGACGGGAGCAGCGTGGTATGCCACGGCAGCAGGGGCAGCATGGTAGGCGACAGCGGCGGGAGCAGCATGGTAGGCGACGGGGGCGGGGGCAGCGTGGTAGGTGACGGCAGCGGGAGCAGCGTGGTAGGCTACGGCAGGGGCGGCGTGGTAGGCTACAGGAGCAGCAACGGCGAGTTTGGCCACGGGAGCGGCGACCGCGAGCTTAGCGACGGGAGCATGAGCCTGGTCGTGACGCACGATGCTCTGGGAAGAGACAGCCGCAGCAGAGGAGTAGTGCACGGGGGCGGCCAGGAGACCAGCCTGGGCCACAGCCACGAAGGCGCACAGAGCTACTACCTGAAACATTTAAAAAGTAAAGATTAGTTTAGTTATGTTAGTATAATATTATTGATTAATTGAGGTTTCAAATGCAAGGAACAAACTTACTTTGGAGAACATTTTGGTTTATTCACTGGTGCAGAACAGTTGAATGATAAATGTCATGTCACAGGCCTACTTTTTATACTGATAAGTGCAAGCATGAACAGCTGATTGTAGTAAGTAGTGGAAGTAGTCAGACAAGTTCATGGCGACCTTGCTTTGTAACTTGCGTTTGGAGAATCAATCCATTCACTAAACCATTACTGTCGCGTCACTAAGTTGAATAGTATGTTAATTATATTGTTATAATCAGATCAAAATTTGAATACTATTAGTTAATACATAAGTAACCTTCAGTAGAGACTTTGGTATATTTATCTAATTGAAGCTATAAAAAAATATAAGTGAAATGGCTTTCACCTAAAAAACAACATCCAAATTGCCCTGTTCAATAAAGAGTATCTAAATACACGATAGTTAATGGTCTATTTTATTATATAAGTTGCTAATATTTTTAACGCGGATTTGCTGTATTCAAAATTCTTTTAATAATCTGATTTCATAAGTAGATACACTGTTCTAGGGTACACGGTATATATTACTCTTATTCTAAAACAAATACATCAGGTACCAATGTAAAATAGTTTCAATACATTTTAATTTTGTACTTACAGACACTTTGAAAACTCTAAACGTACCTAATTATCTAGATAGGTCCTAAAAATTGCTATTGTGATAGTTTTTTAGCTTGGTTCTTCAAAATACTAAGAGCCGTGAACAATTATCTTTAATTCGTTATTATGGTTTTAAATTATACCCTCGAAATATGATTCTGTTTTGGAGATATGTCTATTCTGCAGCTATTCCGCTATAAAACTAAGATCATAATATTAATTTCCTGATAATAGAGACTACAATACATAATTTTCTGGTGCTCTTGGCTCCGGGGCCAGCACTGAAGGAACGCAGAGCAATGTCTTTAAAGCATAAAGTTCCTGACCTCTTTTATATTTAATTGAGCGTAAAGTCTACACCAATTGGTAAAAATACATTATCAATTCTGAATCTTTTTTTATAAAAGATATCACACCTTGTATTCTATGTTCAATCATATGATGTCCTTAACATAAACTCAGTTACCCTCAATAAGCTGGTGAGGGTAACTGATCAAGCATCATCTCCTTGTTTTTTTATGGGAACAACAGGTTTTGTTTATTGATTTGCGTACAACATGGGGACGGCAATTCTTCAATTTGGATACTCTATGAGTAGATCAGGTATAATTTGAAATATTTTTGTTGGCTCTAATTTAAGGTTATGCGCTTAAATCAAGTTAAATTTTGGGTCACATTAGACTTGCCTTCAAAAGGATTCGTTATGAAACGTTTCAGTGAATGTTACGCGTCGCGTAACTATTTGATCCAACGCCGACGTAAGGTCGCTACAAGCCTGTTCTACAACTCATACATGTATTTCACATACACTGGTAACTTGTATAAAATCTAGATCTAACATTGGAACTGTATCATTCATTGTTTGATCACACAAGTGAGACAATCAATTTCATCAAAATGTTCGCTAAAGTGAGAAAAATATTTTATTATAAAATTAATTTGCATTGGAATGAAGGTCAGGACCTATAAAGCTTTTTGTATTAATTAACAGGTTGTAGCTCTGTGCGGCTTAGTGGCGGTATGCCAGGCTGGTCTCCTGCCCGCCCCCGTGCACTACTCCTCTGCTGCCGCTGTCTCCTCCCAGAACATCGTGCGTCACGACCAGTCTGCCCAGCACGTTGCTGTCGCAGCCCCAGTGGCTTACCACGCCGCCCCCGCTGCCGTGGCCTACCAAGCTGCTCCTGCCCACTACTCCTCAGCTGCTGCCGTCTCTTCCCAAAACATTGTCCGTCATGACCAGCCAGCCCAACGCGTAGCCGTCGCTGCCCCAGCAGTCGCCTACCATGCCGCCCCTGCCGTCGCCTACCACGCCGCTCCCGCTGTCGCCTACCACGCTGCCCCCGCCCCAGTCGCCTACCACGCCGCTCCCGTCGTAGCTCACGCTGAAGAGTTCGACGTAAGTGTTTATGACAGTGATAATAAGAGATTAGTTATTAAATTGTATAGTGGCACTCATTTTATTTTTCTGTTTTCTACCACAGGCTCACCCCAAATACGAGTACAACTACTCCGTAGCCGACAGCCACACCGGTGACAACAAGTCCCAGCAGGAGTCTCGCGACGGTGATGTCGTGAAGGGCTCTTACTCCTTCCACGAAGCCGACGGCTCCGTCAGGACTGTGGAGTACTCCGCCGACGACCACAGTGGCTTCAACGCCGTGGTGCACAACTCCGCTCCCACTGCCGCTCCCGTGCACGTTGCTCCCGCTCACTACTACCACCACTAAACTATTCTCACTAGTCATGTAATGCGATCACCAAACCAATGTTGATTATTTATTGCAATATACGAATAAGTTCGACTGAAAACTGTTGTGATTTCTATTACATGCAAGGAATTCCTTTTACTTTTCTGACTTGTTGTAATATTATTTCCTACATTTCGACGAAAAACCGGTTGAATTCAATTTATCGTTGTTAAAATGTATTAAAACTTATGCCTTGTTGTACACGGCGTGTTTTTAGATGATATCTTTGCGGAAATTTAAAAATCATCCAAAAGCTAAATAAAAAAACAAAAAGAAATGGGTACATATATAAAATATGTAGTTTTATGTCTCACTTAATATGTTCATTTTCTAGTCAAAATCAACATATATACAATAGTAGGATTATTTTAAACAAAATGATCCTGAATAAACAATACATAGAATATTTTTTTCGAGTTTCCCTAAGTATAAATATGTTCCTAGTACAATCTCTTGTCGTGCTTTTTAATAGAAAACGTTTTCGTAAGAGATACACGACTTACAAACTAGAACTCATATTGAACAGACAATGCTGTAATTCTGTCCCCTGTGGCCCGTTCCCAATTCCCCAATCTCTAAATCGCCTATGGCGTTGCGAATGTGCGCGGGCGTCGCCGTCTGCTTACCAGTGTCGGCGTTAGGGGGGAGGGGGGAGGCGTGATGGGCCCAGGGCGACAAATTCTGGGGGGCGCCAAGGTCCGAAGTTGGAGTCTCTTGCCTCTCTTAGTGCAAATACCCTCAGAACTGTGCGCTTAGCTCTGTGCATATGCAAATATTTTTTATTAGGGTTTTTTTTATTATTTGGGATCAGATCAAAAATTTAACATTTGATATTGCTTCCCTCAAGTGGGTGCCACAATACTTTCGCTCGGGGTGTCACTGGCCCTTACCGTCGTATAATCAGCCTGTTAGTTTGCTGACATAAATATTAAATAAGCGAGTTATTCATAAAAAGTTAAACTTGCAATCTCACAACTTATACTAGGGTATTTGCCAATTATCTTAAGATGTCAGAATTCAGAGTATATGGAGTGATTTATCAATCTGGACGCCAATCCCACCAATGCACTCCGATGAAGAACTAAAGCAAAGAAATCCAGCAAAAACTTGACATTTTTTAAATTTGTTTTTATTAATTAAAACGTTGCTTCACACTAGGATGTTTTCCTGTGTCGTGGGTGCGTTAAAATATATTATTATAATTTCACATACATATTCAACCCAGGCAAGGAGCAACAATTCGTGGATACACAAAGAGTTGTTCCGTGTGTTAATTGAACCCGTGACATGTTGCACGGTAGCCAGTTGCCCAGCCACCGCACTAACCGTTGCATTTATTCTGATTTAGTAATAATAATGATCCTAGGTATTAAGACAAGCTGCAATTAATCTTTTTTAACATGAGTTGCCTTGTAGATTTTAGCTTGTTGCTTTGATTTTTGGATACGGTAAAGTTTACCATATCATACCAATGGATAGCACATAAAATAATTTTTAACAAAAAAAAACCGACTTCAAAAGTAAACTAAAAAGCAAAAAATAAATTTACTTTGTTCAAAGTAATACACACTTTCATTTAGTTAAATCGAAAATAATATTTAGTAACTATTTTATAATCTTAAAGTCGGTGCCAAGTAAAACTATAACAGTGTAAAGATATTACTTACATACCTCTTGCTAATTTGATGATTAGTAGGTACCGATCAATATATTTTCTAATACTGTTGTTGTTTGGTATGTAGCATTTACTTGGCACCGACTTCAAAATCATAAAATAGTTACTAAATATTATTTTCTATTTAACTAAATGAAAGTGTGTATTACTTTGAACAAAGTAAATTTATTTTTTGGTTTTTAGTTTACTTTTGAAGTCGGTTTTTTTTTGTTAAAAAATATTTTATTTCACCATTTTAAGTGATAGGCAGAGAAAGCTAGGATGCTTCTTAAAAGAGAAGACGACGGCTACCTGAGACCGAAAATCACAGTAATGGCAGTCCTGAGTTAGTCAGCTTTCAGTGCCGTAAATCGTTGAGGAATTCCCGCGAATGTCAATGACCTCCATTATCGGGTATACTGCAGACCTTCATTATACATAATCCATATAGGTGCAAAGTTCTCATCAATATAAATGAATTAAGTCCAAACACGACATAGTTACTGTAAACCGTTAAGGAGTTCCCTGAGCTGTCCATGGTTCTCAACATCAGACCCTTAATGACAGTCACGACCAATCTTGGTGCAAAGTACTCACCAATACGAATCATTCAAGCCCAAACACAAGGCAACTACTCCAAATAGTCAAGGAGATCCCTCGACTGTCTCCCGGCTCCATCATCAGGTCGGGTTCGAACATCGGCAAGTTGTAAATTTGTCAAAAGCCTACTAAAACCATATGCAAAAGCACAACTCGCCCCTACAATTTTTGAAGGTTCCTCTCGATTTCTCTGGTCTTCCATCATCAGATCCTGATTTCCTTATCATGGGACCATTCTGGGACTATTTCCTTTCCAACAAAAAAAGAATTATCAAAATCGGTTCATAAATAAAGGAGATATCGGCGAACAAACATAAAAAAAAGCATATATACGGTCGAATTGAGAACCTCCTCCTTTTTTTGGAAGTCGGTTAAAACTTACAAGAATCAATGTAACTGAAA